AAAGTTGGCACAAACAAATGCACACGCACACACAGGCGAGGATAACAAAACGATATTTTAGGTTCGTGTCGTTTGTCTAGTCATACGCGTGATGTGACACACACACACACACATACACACACAAGATCCCTCTATCTGTCCTTCATTCTATTGCTGACGATGGCGCAGAAGAAACCAAAATTTTTTTGTAAATTCTACGTTCTGGACTCGCCGTGTGGTCACGTCGTCACGTGGTGCAGAACGAATGCAAAGACAAATGAAATTACGAGACAAGAAAAGTTTATTGTATATGAAGCTACTGTGATGTTACTGTTGAATATAAAAAAAAATATATATATATATATATACATAAAAAAGATGTATTTAAAAATTTTCTCGATGGTGTTGTTTCTTATTTACACATTTTTCCTCTTTTGCTCCAGTACGAATCTGTGCAATTGTGGAAGTAGAGAGATGAGACGAGAATTCGTAAAAGTAAAAAAAAAAAAAAGAAAAAAGAATTGGAAGGTTCTTTTTATCTCCAGTTCTACTATTTCTTCTTCTCCTTTTGCCTCTCCCGCTCTAATTCTAATGGTACTGTTCAACGCTATCAAAAATACACACTTTCAGAGAAAAATACTTTTTATTTCGCAGTATTTTTTTTTTTTTTTTTTATAGGTAACTCTTTGTTTTGGTAGAACAATCTCGAAATCGGATTCAGACGGATGAACTTGATCAAACACAGCCGCTGTACAATAAACGAAAGCTCCTGTGTTAAATAGTACGATTATAATGGGAATCCGATTTCCTCGAACTCGTTTCCTTGCTCTTTCCTCTCAACTTTTCTGTCTCTCTTTTTTCTTCTTCTTCTTCTTCTTCTTCTTCTTCTTCTTCTGACAGTATTCCTTTCTTTTTTTTGTTCCTTTCTTTCAATTTCTTCAATTACAGATCCACCATCCGTCTATAATACGAGCACACGCGAAATTCGAATACGTTTTCTGAAGGTGCGTGCACAATTGTGCGAATATATTTTGCTTGTGTACAACTGTTTTTGTGTTGTACTAATCAGTTTCGCTGAAAACTTCAAAATGGACACATACGCATATTTTTTTTTTTTTT